AGGTGGGTGGGGCAGTGTGAGTGGCTGGACTGGAACACGCATCCACTCCTATGGCCCGGAGAAGAGAGGAGAGGCCGTTCTCTGAAAGAAGCCGGGTATTATTATCAGAAGAAACGGGAGAGGGATGCTGGACAGAACGAGTCCTACAGGTTTTCCATTATAGCATATACTGATGGCTTCATACACGTGCTTTTTTTTTTTCTCTTTTCAAAAGGACTCATACACACATTTAATTTAAGGACAGATTCCTTAAGAGGTGACTATCCTATCTGTCTTAATCCACACAAACACATATTAATCTATTTTATGTGTCAATGCTTTGGAGACTTCACAGATAAGTCCCTGTAAAGAGTGAATTCTACAGGTGAATATGAATCATTTAGAATTTTCCTTCTCTTCCACATTTTCTAAGGAAAAATAATTTTTTTAAAAAAAGATAGATGGGCCGGGCGCGGTGGCTCATGCCTGTAATCCTAGCACTCTGGGAGGCCGAGGCGGGCGGATTGTTTGAGCTCAGGAGTTGAAGACCAGCCTGAGCAAGAGGGAGACCCCGTCTCTACTAAAAATAGAAAGAAATTAGCTGGAACAACTAAAAATATATAGAAAAAATTAGCCAGGCATGGTGGCACATGCCTGTAGTCCCAGCTACTCAGGAGGCTGAGGCAGGAGGATCGCTTGAGCCCAGGAGTTTGAGGTTGCTGTGAGCTAGGCTGACGCCACGGCACTCTAGCCCGGGCAACACAGTGAGACTCTGTCTCAAAGAAAAAAAAAAAAGAATGTGGGCTTTGAGTAGGCTGCCTGGGAACAAATCCCAGCTCTTCTCTTGCTAGAGGTGTGACTTTGGGCAATTCATTTAACCCCAGTGTCCTCATCCATAAAATGGGCATACAGTAGTGCATTCCTGTGTTAGTTTGCTAGGGCTGCCATAATAAAATACTACAAACTGTGTGGCTTAAATAACAGAAATTAATTTTCTCACAGTTCTGGAGGCTGGAAGTCCAAGATCAAGTGCTAGCAAGTTTGGTTTCTTCTGAGGTCTCTCTTCTTGGCTTGCAGATGGCTGCCTTCTTGCTGTGTCCTTACTGGGTTATGCCTTGGTCTCTGTGCTGCCTGGGTTCTAATCTCTTCTTATAAGGACAGCAATCATATTGGATGAGGGCCCACCCATATTACCTCATTTTAACTTAATCACTTCTTTAAAGGCCCTGTCTCCAAATAGAGTCACACTCTGAGGTGCTGGGGGTTAGGACTTACACAAATGAATTTTCTTGGGGACCCAACTCAGCCCATGACACTACCTCACAGAGTTCTTGTGAAGATTAAATGAGACAATACATGGAAAGCAATGATCATGGGACTGAGAATGCAGTAAGAGCTTAATAACTGTTAGCCATAACTGAACACTTAATTTAGGCAAAAGGGTATTCAGCAAGTTTCACATCTTTCCTTGCTAGGATGTTGGCTGGAAGTGCCCTGGGGCTTCTCTTCTCACCCAGGTGCCATCCAGCACCATCCTTGCCTTAGGATCTACAGTCCCATCTTGATGCCTGGACTCTTCTGTTCTGGTCTGGCTCTCCCTGGGGTCAATAAGATGTTCTTCCTGTAAAGAGTTCTCAAATTTTCTTTCTGTAATTGCTCCAAGTTTAGTGTTTTAAATGAGGACATATCCTGTCCTAGCTACTCACAGCCCAGCAAGCGCATTTCCAATACTACTGCTATTTCTATTCTTTGGACAAGTCACTTACTGTTAAAATTTAATGATAATCACTTGTACTTACAGCCTTTTTCAGTTTGCAAAGCTCCTTTCTATCCATTCTCTCTCTTAATCCTTACAACATCTGTGGGAAGAAAGTGTGTTTTCTTCCATTTTACAAATGAAGAAAATAAGGCTCTGAGGAGTAGCCTCATGGTCCTGGCTTACGCAGTTAATATGGGGCAGAGATGGGCTTCAAATTCTGTTCTTTTTGTTTCAGTTTGTCAGGAGTAGCTCACCTATTCAGGTGTTTTTCTGTAATATAAAGAACCTAATACCAGCACTGCTCTCTCTTTTGAAGGAATATAGGTAAATTATTTAGGTTAGTTGTATTGATTGGAAGTGACAAAAAACTAACTCAAACTGGCTTAAACAAAATTGAATTTAGTGCTTCCCCCTAACGAAACAATTCAGAACTAGGTTTTCAGGCATGGATGGATCCAGGTGCTCAAATTATGTCATCAGAACTCTCTCTCCGTTTCTCAGCCTTTCTTTGTGTTGACCTTATTCTTAGACAAGCTCTCTGCTTGGGTTGTCAAAGATGGCCCCCACTAGCTGTGGCTTACAATCCCCCCAGCTCAACAGACTCAATAGATAGAGAATATCTCTTTCCTATAAACTGCAACAAATGACCTTGTATCATTCTCAACTATTTGGCCTGGTTATGGGTCCACCCATGAAGCAATCATGGTGTCTAGGACAATGGAATATTCTCATTATCTGGGTCTGATCATTTGTGCTGTCTGGAGTGGCATATGGCGTGTGTGTGTGTGTGACAGAGAGAGGGAGAGAGAGAGAGAGAGAGAGAGAGAGTTTCACCAAATCCAAGGACTTAGTGAAGGGTAAAGAAGGTTCTTCAAAGAAAACTCACTGTTGTCAGAAGTGTGTGAGAGGTGGGCAGATCTCTACAGGGTGTCTTTGCTCTGCAGAGCTAGAATAGAGTAGCCCCAGAGGACCTGGGGGTCCATCTTAGCAAGAACTCTCACTTCTTGCCTTAAAGGAGAGTAGTAAATGGACTTTTATAATTTTTCCAGGACTGCCTAGCGTGGCTCAGCAGGCTAGAAAAAAAAAGGCAATAATTCAGGCAGAGTAAGGAGTAAAGAGTAAGGAATGACTTGGTATGTTCAGAACAGTATCCACACCAGGAAGACCCACAGAAGGAGACTTTGAGATGCTCTTTGAGGATGGCCACTTCCCCGCTCCCTCTTCCTAGCACCTTCCATTTCTCCACGAAGCTGTGAGCTCCATGTGAGCTCAAGGCAGGCGCCATGCCTGTTTCACTCACCACCTGCTCCCAGTGCCTAGCATAGAGCCTGTGCCTGGCACGCTGCAGGGGCCCACACATACTTCCTGGGTGGATGAGTAAATTAATGAATCAGGTTGATCAGTCTGATTGGCAGAGTCCATCTACCTATCTGGATAAGTCAATCCTCTTCTTTGGCCTTTGTTCCCCACCTGAACAGTGGGAGAAGGTATAGAACGAGACTTTCTCCACAGGCCCATATTCCAGGATGGCAGACTTCTCAGTAGACAGCCAGGATACCCCCTCCGAGGAACCAATGGAAGCGGAAACCAAATTTATTGAGCACCTTGTGTTCAGGCCCCAGATGAGATCAATTCACATGGGTCTGAGATCTCCAAATTGTGGGATTTCATGAATCCATAATTGTTATGAAATTTGGGGTTAGGATAAGGCTGCCTATTCTTTGTTTTGCCAAATAAGGACATTAAAAAAAAAAAAACCTTTCATTAAAAATCACTACCCCTTCTTAAAAGAAATGGATTTCTGGGCCAGGCGTGGTGGCTCACACCTGTCAGCCTAGCACTCTGGGAGGCCGAGGCGGGTGGATCATTTGAGCTCAGGTGTTCGAGACCAGCCTGAGCAAGAGCGAGACTCCGTCCCTGCTAAAAAAAAATATATAGAGAAAGAAATTAACTGGACAACTAAAAATATATAGAAAAAAATTAGCTGGGCATGGTGGTGCATGCCTGTAGTCCCAGCTACGCGGGAGGCTGAGGCAGGAGGATCACTTGAGCCAGGAGCTGGAGGTTGCTGTGAGCAAGACTGACTCCATGGCACTCTAGCCCAGGCAACAGAGTGAGACTCTGTGTCAAAAAAAAAAAAAAAAAGAAAGAAAGAAATGGATTTCTGCAGTAAGAAAGTAGAAAGCACATAATCTCAGAAAAAAAAGATCAGTCCTCTGACCCACTGGAAGAGTGATAACTGGCCATCTTGCATGATTCTTTTTTACAGATAGATGTAAATTTTGACAGATTGACCCCTGTGTGGGTACAGTGTTTGGGATCCACTAATACGGATGATTTTTCACACCCCCCGCCCCACCACCACACACTTACACCCATGGAGTGGGGCTTAATCTGCCTACTTTACTGATGGGGACACAGAAGTTCAGAGAGCAGGAGTGCAAGGTCACAGAGACTGTAAGTGTCAGTCACAGTTTGTCTGGGTTCCAACCCAGATCATCTCGACAGATCCTAAGCCAAAGGCTCTTTTCCCCACAGGGAAAGAAATGACCCAAACTGGCTCCCTTGGATTGCCCCCGGGGTGTTCTATGGCCTAACCATGCACCTTGTCTTCGATGATTTGATCCTTAACACATCTTTACGGTGGCTGGCCAGTGGGGAGAGTGTAGAGAGGGAAACCAAAACTTTCCCAGTCCCCTTCTCCCTTGTTCGCCGGTACTCACCCTGTGTCCTGTTCTTCAGGCCCCACTTCTTGTGCTGGTGGCCAACGAATCCCCACCGCAGGTGTGGGCTGCTACAGTTTAGGGAGTTCCCTCTCCCAGGGGTGTTGGCAGTTTCTTAGGAGACTCTGGGAACCTTCAACACCTCCAAGACCCAAAGGACTGGAAGCGTAATGGTGCAACTTCAGACACTGAAGGGGAGAGGTCGTAGAGGAGGTAATTCGGGAGCAAGAGATCCAGTTCTCCTATCAAATGACATCCCGGCCGGCCCCTCCCCCATTCCCGTGGACTGAGTGGGGATCCACAGCTCAGGCTGGAAGAAGGGAGCCCCCCAAATCCCAGGGCCCTACTATGGAGGGGGCTCGTTGCTCCCGCCCCAGGGACCGTGCCCACCACCTTCCCCTTGACCGCCAGAACCAGGAGCGCCCCTCCCCCGTGTTACCCCGCCCCGGACGCCAGTGCGGGAGCGCGCCTCCGCCGGGCCGCGCCGGTGCACGAGAGCGCGCGCCTCGGCGCGGGAGCGCGCCCCGGGGAGAACCCGAGCAAGATGGAGGCCGCGCAGAGGCCGCCGCCTGGGCCGAGGCAGCCGCTGCTGGGAGAGCCGAGCCGCGGCGCCTAGGCCGTGCCCGTCCCGGACCCGCCGCCCCCGACCGGGCCCAGGTTGGTCTTCCGGCACCCTCTCCCCGCGGCCGCAGCCTCCGCGCGCGTCCGGCCTGGGCGCGGGGCAGCTGCCCCCCCAACCCCGGCCCTACCTGGGCCCGGCCGCTCCCCAGCGCCCGGGTGACAGCCCCTGTCCGCCGCCGCTCCTTGCGGTCCCGGCTGCCCGCCCGCCCTGGTCCTTCCTCCCCTTGGCCTGGAAAGCCCCTCTCCCCCAGGCCCGGCCCGCCAATCCTGGGCTCCCCCAGCCCACATCCAGCCCTGGCTTCTGAGGACACCCTCCCCCCGCCCCGTGTCCAGCAGTTCCAGCCCCGGCTCCCCTCTAGCTTTATTCTAATTCCGCTGCTTTGCCCTCTCGGACGCTCCTACCAGCCCCATTCCCTGCCCCAGCCCCCACGTCACCTTCCTCATCCCTCAGTACAACCCCTGTATCCCCTTCTTCCCTCCTCGTAGACGCGCTCCCACCCCGGCCTCATAGCCCCTTTCTAGACACCCAACACCAGATCTCCTGCTACCCCCGACACCAGCCCCCAATTCCCTTCCGAGCTCCCCGTATACATACAGCCCCTCTGCTAATCCTCCGATGCCGGTCTTCCACCGCCCCGCGGCACCTCTGCTCCCCAGTGCCAGCCCCCGAGCCCCCTGCCTAACTCCCCCATGGCCACTTTCAAGCCCCTCCCTCACTTCCATATCCCGTATCCTCATCCCAGGCTCCCCTCAACTTCCGCATGGCCCCTTCCTGGGCCCCGCAACGGGGGGCTTTGCTAATGCCCCAGACACGGCTCCAGCACTCTCATGACCCCTCCCGTCTTCCCCATAGCAGCCCCCAGGTCCCCCAGCTCCGCCCCGGGCCCCGCCCTCGCGAGTTCCTTGACTCCGGGCCGCTTCTCCCCAGCTCCCGCCCGGCAGCCCGCGTTCCGTCCCGGGCCGGCGGCCCCCGCCAGCCGCCGCCGCCGGCCCCGCCCCCGGGCACCATGCTGCCCTCGCAGGAGGCCTCCAAGCTCTACCACGAGCACTACATGCGGAACTCGCGGGCCATCGGCGTGCTGTGGGCCATCTTCACCATCTGCTTCGCCATCATCAACGTGGTGGTCTTCATCCAGCCCTACTGGGTGGGCGACAGCGTAAGCACCCCCAAGCCTGGCTACTTCGGCCTCTTCCACTACTGTGTGGGCAGCGGGCTGGCGGGCCGCGAGCTCACCTGCCGGGGCTCCTTCACCGACTTCAGCACCATCCCATCCAGCGCCTTCAAGGCGGCCGCCTTCTTCGTGCTGCTCTCCATGGTGCTGATCCTCGGCTGCATCACCTGCTTTTCGCTTTTCTTCTTCTGCAACACGGCCACGGTCTACAAGATCTGCGCCTGGATGCAGCTCTTGGCAGGTAGGGGAGGGGCGGGGGCGGAACCCCCAGGACAGGCGCCAGGGACAGGGGCTTCTTCCTGCCAGGTCCCCTTCTTGCTCCTCTGTGTTAAGACACTCACTTCCTTAGCTGACCCGCGGCAGCCACTGGGGAGGGGATTCAATGAGAGAGAGAGAGACCTTAGGGCAGGAGCAGAGCCTTGGAATGGGGTATTTGGATCTGTACGCTTGGATATGAGCGGACTGCATTTCTTGGTGGTTTAGCATGATGTTAGTGTCTCCAAGGGTTTCTTTTGGCTGTCTTAGGGGAAATATTTATCTGAATGAGGGGTTTCTCTAGTTACGATTGATTTCTGTTATGTTGAAAAAAGCGTGAGACGGGGAAGCAAGGGGTCTGGCTCGGACTTTTAATTTGCTGACATTATCAACTTGGGCGTTTCACTTTACTTCTCTGAGCCTTGGTTTCCTCCTCTGTAACACAGTGAAGAGGATTCCAAGAGGACAAATGAAAGAGTATCTTGTAATCTTTAAAGTGCTGTGATAAGTAAGGGGCAGAGGTTGTCTATAGTGCCTATCCAATGTTTGAGATGTGGGTGGTTGACAGCATCTGCCAACATGGGTCTCTGGAGGGCAGGTCTCCATTCTCCCCACCCCCATTGCAGGAAGGGTTCTGTTACCATGCCCAGTGGGAATGAGTTCCTGGGACCCTCTGTTTGGCTAAGAACCGGAGAGGGGCCTTTTGGGAATGAGAAATGCTGAGACAATTTTCCAGGATCCATTAGAGTTCTCCACTTCCACCCACCTTTCGATCGAAGGCAGATTTTAAAGACTCAGCAACTTGGGCATTTGCCTAATTGCTGGCTGGGAAGGGAGTTGGGCTGAGGAAGGTGGGGCCAGGGGATGGGAGGGATAGGGGAAGAGGGCTGCTGAAGGCTAGAAAAAAGTTTGGAGCCTCCCAGGGATGAGAAAGAGAAGGGAAAATATAATAATCATGCAACAGAGATGGTTTTTAAAAATAAGCACCTCAGGACATTCAACAAGTGTCCACCATTTCAAAAGAGACCCCCCTGGAGGAGATGTCATATCGCTTGCTGATGATTTCACTGCTCAAAGCGTTGCGGGAATTGACTTGGTGTATTCTCCTGAATATCTTCATTGAAGGGAAAACTCCATCTTTTAAAGGGGGAGTGTAATTTTTGGAAATGGCTGGAATCCGCTAGGGTCAAGTGTAGAGAATACAATGGATGAACAAATTGAGAATTGTCACTTGGGATGAAAGCCGAGGTGTAAGGACAAAGTCATGTGGCTGGTTTGCTTCCCCAAGAGGACTTCTACAAATGCAGGGAGGAATTATGCCTCATTGGAAGAATTGCCCAAACTCCTAAAAGGACTACTTTGAAGAAGGCAGTGTATATTCAGATGTAGACATTCTAATGAGCTTATTTCAAATCCATCTCCCCCTACTCAACTTAGATGTGGATCTTTTAGGATCTTTGAAGAGGGTGAGAAAGGAGAATTTTAGGATGTGGGGGATATCGGTCCATATTTCTCTGTGGTACCCGGAGAGATGATACTATGTACTTCAATTCTATTTTTCTTCCAAAGGCAAGCTGGAAAGAATATAGGCTCAGCTGGAATCCCCAATTCATCAGCCTTAATTTGGAGTCTGCAGATGGGTTGCTGACCTCTAGGCCTTCAAATTCTCTGTAATCCATGTGGGTTTAATCTTGGGATTTGATGAACTGTCCACCAACCCCCATGTAATCATAGGATTTCATGGATCTTAGAGATCAGCTCTTTCAAATTCTACTTTCCCCTTCCCCTGGTTTTTTTTTTTTTTTTTTTTTGAAAAAGAGTCTCATTGTTTTGCCTGGAGTAGAGAGGGGACCACATCCCCAGGGATCAGCAAACTTTAGACTACAGGCATGCACCACCATGCCTGGCTAATTTTTTCTATATGTTTTTAGTTGTCCGATTAATTTCTTTCTATTTTTAGTAGAGACGGGGTCTCGCTCTTGCTCAGGCTGGTTTTGAACTCCTGAGCTCAAACAATCTGCCCGCCTCGGCCTCCCAGAGTGCTAGGATTACAGGTGTGAGCCACCGCGCCCGGCCCCCTTCCCCTGTTTTAGAGAAAGGAAACTGAGTGTGGAGAAGTGAAGGGCTTTCACAAAGTCACACAGCCAGGAAGGGCTGAGGGGACAGTTGGGAGAGTGTAGCAGTTTGTTCCATTTTGTTCAGAGATTTCTGAGTTCTCTGTATAAGTGACTGATTCACTTTGCTTAATAAAGTGATAACAGGACAGAGGTCAGAGCACTGGACTACGTGTCATGGGCGGGAGTTTTTGGTTGACTCTGCCTGTGACTCACTGCACAGTGTTAAGTGAGTCTTATTAATAGTTTAAATCTCAATTTCCTCATTTGTACAGTGGGAGACTGGGGGCCATTAGATAAGTTGATTTAAAGTATCTCTTTCAGCCCTGTGGGGCTCCTAGAACAACTCTTTCAGCAAAATCATTCTGTTCAGAAGAAAGCAAGAAATCACTCGCCCTCAGAGGAACTGCAGAGAAGCAAAGGGCGTTGTTTGTGTCAGATAAGAATTAAAATGCCTGTCGTATGATTCTTGTTCCTGTAAACTTTTATTCAAGTATTTTAGGGTCCTCTAGGTGCACAGCTCAAGGCCGTTGGGAAAATACAAGAAGATTTTTAGTTCTTTGTTTATTCCTCATCTGCTCTATGGTCATTTTCTGTGCTCGGTGCAGCAATACTGAGATACATAAGACGTCATCCCTGTCCCCAAGGATCTTAGGTCTATAAAATGTAATTCCTGCTCTCAGGAAGCTTACCGTCTAGTTGGGTCACCATATTGGTCAGCAGTCTTTCAGTGGCAAGTGACAGAAACCCAACTCAAAGTGGCTTAAATATGTTAAAATAAAGTAAAGAGAGTAGGGTTTGTTGGCTCTCTTAACTTGAAAGTCAAGAGTATCTGGCTTCGGGCATGGATGGATCCAGATGCTCGGATAATGCCATGAAGAGTCTGTCTCTATTTCTTGGTTCCGCTGTGTTGGCTCATTTTAAGTTCACTTCTGTCTTCAAGGTGACAAATAAGGCTACTGGTAGCTCTGAATTTACGTTGCTTCAGCTTAGCAATGCCTGTGGAAAAGGAGTGGTTCCAGCAAAAGTTCCAGGGCTGATTCTCATTGGCCAGCTTTGGTCAAGTGTCTACTTCTTAATTAATCAAGGTGACTTTGTCTAAAGCCTGAGCCACATGCCCATCCCTGGAACAAAACATGGACTGATAGTGGAGAAAGGTCAATTCCCACAAAGGTAAACCAAGTGTGAACACTGGAAGAGGGGTACAGAGATAAGACAAGTGTGGACAGAAGCTTCCCACAGGGCAGTCTGGACACGAACATGTGCTGGGCTGTAAGTGCTGTGGAGACCCAGAGCAACGGAAGTGCTGCCAGCTTAGCTGGAAAATGAGGCTTGAGTTGGGCAGGGTGTTGGTAGTTGCGAAGTGTGGGAGAGCACTCTCAATGGAGAGGAAGGTCACGGGCAGAGACACAGAGGTGAGAAGGCCACATGGACGCAGTGGGAGAAGAGGCCAGGAAGGAATGATGGGGTCCACAGTGTGCTGGGTCAAAGAATTTGGACTTTGATCAGTGGTCAGTGGAATGCTACTGCAACTGTTATTGTTATTTGAGAAAAATGGTTAACATTTCTGAGCCTTTGCTCTATGCGAGACCACGTGCTAAACATTTTACATGCATGATATTATTTAACCCTCATGACAATCCTATGGAGTGGGCACCATTATTCATTTTTTATAGATGAGAAAACTGATCCCCAAAGAGGAAGAAGTCATTTGTCCAAGGTCGTACAGGTGGTAAGTGGTGGAGCCAGGATCGTAACTCAGGCTGCCTGACTCTACAGCCCAAGATCTTGGTTAAAGGAACATTAATGGTGGGGATAGTGGCAGGGTGTTTTTTCCAGAAGAGTCAAATGCTAAATAGAGAGTCTGGGAGAGCCAGGTGGCTCTTTATGGAATTAGGGATTAGGTTTTCAGGGCTCCTCAGGATATCTCTGCCACTGCTACTCTTTTACCGGGTGTTCTCATTTACTAGGAACATACAACGTGCCAGCTTCCGTGCTCGACGTCTCTACATTATGTTGTTTAATCTTCCTCTGTTAAAATGACTTGCTCAGAGGTCACACATCTAGTCAAAGGTAGATCCGGGTGAGGTTAGCCACAGGGAAGTTCCCTGCTGGGTTAGAGACTCAAGCTAAAGCCTGGCTAAGGGTTGGAGGAGGCTGTGTGGGATAGTAGGCTAAGAGCAGGGGACTTGCCATCTCCCCTCTGCCACTTCCCAGCTGTGTGACCTTGGAGAAGTGGGTTTGTCTCTCAGTTTCCTCAGCTGTAAAATAGAGATTATTACTGCATCTACTTTGGCAATATGGATGTAAAATGCTGAATGTGGTCCTGGTGTATAGAAAGCACTCAACAAATCGTCGCTGTTTTTCTCGTGACCTAGTCCAAGTGAAGAACAGTTTGTGAGGAGTCCTAGATGCTCAGAGTTTGGACTTGTGGGATTATGTAAGCATTTAAGAAGTCATAAACTGTCAGCTTGAGAAGGATCTTATCAATCAGCTTGCCCGACTCCCTCATTTTACAAATGTGAGAACTGAGTCCCAGAGACAAGAAACAAGTTCATGGTGATAGTGAGACATGAACCTGGACCTTTCCCCTTTCCACTGAAGGGAGATGATTCTGACCACAGCTCATTTAATATTGAGTGGTGCTTGGGTCACAGCAGAGAACAGGATGTCTGAAATGGAATGGAAGCTGGCAGAAGCCAGAGGTGGGAGGTGGCAGCAGGGGCCTGGCTGGTGGGATCCAGAAGTGAGCATCTTCCAGCCTTCCAGATGTGTGTGTCCTTACTCATCTGTGTCTCTGGGCTAGGAACTGCAGTCACAGGGGCTCCCATCACTGTGGCTTAGAATATACATGCCTTTCCATTGACTTGGG